TTTAAGAGAAAGCTAATAAATGTTCTATGTGCTCTTCATGTCTCTTTCAAAACCCTCATTCGAGATCTCAAATCTGCATCTTCATCTTTCTGATTTAGGGTTTATTAATAAGTATATATTATAATTTGTATATATTTTCCCTCGATCTAATTCTCAACCACTAATTTTATGGGGTCCATAATTTTTATTAACTTTTCAACTACATACTTCATCAACTTTATCGAAATCCACTAAAAATCTAATTTTTAAACATAGGCTAAATAACACGTCTAAATGTTCAAAATTCGTGAATTAGCTACATATAAATATTTTTCTCACTCAATTTTAAATTAGGTCTTGTTTGGTTCAGCTAAAAATCATATCATATTTTAAATAAATTTTGCTAAAACTTCATAAAATCCGCGGTTGAAAAGTTGGTAAAATTTGTACGTTTCATTAAAATACATGGTTAAAATTAATTATTATTAACTTGACTTAAATTTTGCTAAGCCCCTATATGGTACACATTAAAATTTTCATTTTCATTATTCTACTCATTTTCAACCACACATTTTTCAATAAAATAATATTTTCCATCACATCAATAACTTTTCTTTCTTTTTTAACCACAAATTCTCCATCAATTTACTATTTCAGTATACATTTTTTCAAAATAATGTGACTCAAATACATCCTAAATCATTGTTGGAAGCTCACGAAGAACTGCAAAAATAAAAAGTGATTAAACACCATGAAAAGAAAGAGAGAGAGAGAGCGCGGAGCTGAGTTGCAGAAAGAGACAACCGACTTCTATTCCATATGTCGACATCTCGTCAACGTCTTAAAAATCGAATATAACTTTATTTTCTTTTAATAATAAATTCATATTTTATTTGTTTTGACGGAAACAGCTAAGTTTAGATGGAATTTTTAGATCTCTATCATTTTATGAACAAGCGAAGTTCCCCATTACCATTATTTTATTGTTGGACTTTTAGCGCATGTGAAGATTGATGAATCATATTTGGTGAAAATAATAAAACTTCCTCGGACAAGTGGAGTTTGGTGAAAAATATTATTTTTTATTCCAGGTGTGATTTAATTAATTTTATTTCTTGAACTTTTATATGTTCAAAACAATGGCTACTACTTAGAAAATTGAATATCTTTATTTTCTTTTTTATCATGAAATCATATTTCTTTGTTTATCTCATCATTGTATGTGTATATTTTATCTTCTTATCCTTTCACAATAGTTGGTATGAGTTATTTTGTAATTTAATTTGCTATTTGAGCATGCTAAAGTAATGCGTTCGAGTTTCTTTTTAACCTATTTAAAAAGCTCCGAGTGTTGGATCGTGAAAAATGAGTCGACTTACGGAAGGAAATAAAATACAAAAAAACAAATATAATGTTTTTTAACACTTGTTTTTAAATGAGTTGATCTTAAACGATCAAAATGTGCAAATTCATTTGCACCAAGTATTTGTAATTATTAGACTTTCAGTAGATGTCATAAAGATATTATCAAAAAAAAAAAAGAAGAAGGAATCTAGACTATTGAAAGCACCCCGGTCCCCATTGGGTGTTGAATTACAAGCTTTCACTATTACAAGGTTTCTAGTGATGAGTTCTACAGCCTTCTAGGTACTCTACTGATGCACGCATTTGATAGCTCTCTTTGTTCTTTCCTTCACTTGAACCTTCGGAAATAAGACATTGCTTTCGTTGTTACCCTTGCATGTCATCCATCGTGAACGAAATGGAGAGCCCAGAACATTCTACCAATATGTGATAACAATAATATATTTTGAATGTGTGATTTGATTATTTTTCCACCCTGGAATTTTCTATGTTCACTCAATAACTACTTTTCTAGAAAATTGAATATAACATACTCATTCACGTCTTTGTTTGCCTCTTATATTTTATCTTCTTATTCATGAACTGTTATGAAACAAACAAGATTAAAATTCTCGGCGCCACGCCACTCAGTGCAGCAGTGTTGCCGCCGGCTCCTCAACGCCCAGAGGCTGGCCTTTCTGTTCTTCTTCGCGCTGCCGGCGTCTTGGTGCCACGTCCTAGTGTACTCGTTTCTATACCAATGCGTCCAAAACACTTTTTTATGTTGGGATATAAATGATCGATGTAATATATATGACACGATATGAAATATATGATCTCAAACAAACAACAAGATAAAATGCAAAATAATTAATTGACAGATGAACGAAATATTTTATTCAATTGACTAATATAGAGAAAAGAAATAAAATAACTATGTTTACATAATTATTCTATATTTTATTAATATAAAACTTGTGAAAAGAGTTTAGTATTTATAAGGGTGGATGCCAAACCTTAGAAATACAACAAAGATGAAAACAAGATAAAAAATTACGTAGAATAAAAAAACAATATTTTTTCAATAAAAATACGTGCAAAGAAGGAAAACATATTTTCTTTAAAACATCCAACCTAATTTGGGTCAAAAAACCAATAATCTACACCTTGACACAAATTCTGATGCAAATAATGAATCTCCAAGATTTCTCCACCAGAATAAAAAAAATCCAGAACATTCTACCAATATGTAATAACAATAAGAAATTTTGAATGTGTGATTTGATTATTTTCCACCCAGGAATTTTCTATGTTCACTCAGTAACTACTTTTTTAGAAAATTGAATATAACATACTCATTTCACGTCTTTGTTTGCATCATATATTTTATCTTCTTATTCATTAACTGTTATGAAACAAACAAGATTAAAATTCTCATCACTGCGGCGCCGCTGCCGTCGGCTCCTTGACGCCTAGAGGCTGGCGCTTTTTGTTCTTCTTCGCGCTGCCGGTGTTGTGGTGCTATGTCCCAGTGTACTCCTTGTTGTCCCAATGCGTCCAAAACACTTTTTTATGTTGGGATATAAATGATCGAGGTAATATATATGACACGATATGAAATATATGATCGCAAACAAACAATAAGATAAAAAGCAAAATAATTAATTGGCAAATGAACGGAATATTTTTTTCAATTAATTAATAGAGAGAAAAGAAATAAAATAACTGCGCATATACAATTATTCTATATTTCACTAATACAAAACTTATGAAAAGAGTCTAGTATTTATAAGGGTGAATACCAAACTCTAGAAATACAACAAAGATGGAAACAAGATCGAAAATCACGTAGAATAAAAAAGTAATATTTTTTCAATAAAAACACGTACAAAGAAGGAAAAATATTTGATTTAAAATATCCAACCTAATTTGGGTCAAAAAACCATTAATCTTCACCTTAACACAGATTCTGATGCAACGAATGAAGCTCGAGGATTTCTCCACCTGAAAAAATAAATCCAGAACATTCTACCAATATGTAATAACAATAAGAAATTTTGAATGTGTGATTTGATTATTTCTCCACCCAGGAATTTTCTTGTTCACTCAATAGCTACCTTTTTAGAAAATTGAATAAAACATACTCATTTTAGACTTTTAACACAAAAAATTCACGTCTTTGTTTGTATCATATATTTTATCCTATTATTCATTAATTGTTATGAAACAANGACTTTTAACACAAAAAATTCACGTCTTTGTTTGTATCATATATTTTATCCTATTATTCATTAATTGTTATGAAACAAATAAGATTAAAATTCTTGCCGCTGCGGCGCTACCCCCTCGGCGTCACAGTGTTGCCATCGGCTCCTTGGCGCCCGAAGGCTGGCGCCTTCTGTTCTTCTTTGTGCTGCCGACGCCGTGGTGCCATGTCCCAGTGCCTTCGTTTCTGTCTCAATGCATCCAAAACACTTCTTTATGTTGATATATAAAAATGATCGAGGTAATATATATATATGACACGATATGAAGTATATTATCGCAAACAAATAACAAGATAAAATGCAAAATAATTAATTGACAGATGAACAGAGTATTTTATTTAATTGATTAATATGGAGAAAACAAATACAATAATTATGTCTACACAATTATTCTATATTTTAATAATACAAAACTTGTGAAAAAAGTTTAGTATTTACTAGGGCGGAAGTCAAACCCTAGAAATACGCAAAAGATGAAAACAAGATAAAAATTACGTGGAATAAATGAAACAATATTTTTCCAATATTTTTTAATAAAAACTAAAAACACGTGCAAAGACAAAAAAAATATATTTCTCAAAAAAAATCCAACATAATTTGGGTAAAAAAAAAAAACCAACACTTTATTCATTTCAAAGTCCTTATCCTAATTAAACTCTTCATCAATGATAAAATTTGATCTCTTATTAAATCAGACTTCTAAATCAAAATTATTTAGACTTCCTTCAAAAATCAAACTTCTAAAATTACATGAAATTTGAATCACAGAACATAACATTAACAATAAATGGTGTTAGTTTTTAATTTAACGTGCTATTCAAGCAATACTGATAACATGTTTTCGAGTTTCTATCTCACCAATTTATGAAGGTTCCAAGTGTCAGAATGTAAATGAATAATTAGTAGTGGCAATCGAGTCGAGCGGCTCGTCGGCTCGATCGTTTGGCTCGTATTGTAGCGACCCACGAGCTACTCGAGCTCGTCAAAAGACGAGCCCGAGCACGAGCCGAGCGAGCCCTTGCTAGACGAGCCGAGCCCGAGCTCGGCTCGTTAAGGAGACAAGCGCTCGTGGGCTCGTGAAAAAACTATTAATAAAAAAAAGCTAAGAAAAATTAAAAAAGAAAAAAATTTAACGAGCCACGAGCCGAGCCGACTCGACTCGTGAGCTCGTGGGCCGAGCCGAGCTCACCCACTAACAAACGAGCCACGAGCCTACTTGGCTCGTGAACTCGTGGCTCGTTTCTCCATGAGCCGGCTCGTGGCTTTAAGGGCAGAGCCGGCTCAACTCGGCCCATTCACATTAATATGAATAATCAAATGAATAGATTCCTTTGTAAGAAGCATTTGATTTTATTTAATTTTTAATATATATGACGATTGATGTAACGTGTGAGGTGGGAAATTACAACCTTAGCACGAAACAAGTACTCCAGTAATTGACTTGACCATTAATACCTTCTAGTACAAGTGGTTTAATAGCTTCCTTTGGCCTATACCTAAAACCTGTGAAGATAAGACACTTTTATTTTGTGGTTACCCTTGCATGTAAAAATGTGAACGAGCTGGAGTCTCCAAAACATGATACCAATCAACACGTCTAATGTTTTTGATGTGTGATTCAATAATTTTCTTCCCAGGAATCTTCTATGTTCAGTTAATAAATACAATTATTTGTGTTAACGATCAATTAGAGATTGTTCTCTTCGTGTTTCAGTTTTGTGTTTTTTGTTTTGAATTTATTTTGGATTTTGTGTTTTAAGTGTCCATTTTGAAATTGTTGAAAACGTGTTCTTTTTGCCATTTTAAAAAATTGTTTTGAAAATTTGGGCCAAATTATAATTGAAAATACACAAAACGACAAATTTGGCATCTTTGATTTTTTTTTTTTTGTAAATTTTAAACTTGTTTTCAAAAACACTTTTTCGAAAATAGGAAAGAGAATGCATTTTCACTATTTTGGAAAATTGAAAACAGAAAACGATTTGAAAACAGTAAAGAGAACATGCCCTTAGTTTCTTACAATTTTTAGTTTTGAACAATAAACGTGTTTTGAACAATAGTTTAATTTGTGTCTTTGATGGAAGATTCTAGTAATTGAAAATATGAAAAATAAAGATAATATGTATATAATTTGTCATTTTCCAGTACGATGTATAAAATATTATCAAAAAAATCCATGCACCACCCTTATATATATTCCTGCCCGGAGACAATGGGCATAAACATCACAAGAATTGTCTTCCCTGTTGTATCGAGTCATATCGAGATGGCAAACACTATCCAACTCTTACCCCTTGGTTCCTCTTTTGTTCAAAACCTTCCCAAACACAATTTGAGAGAAGTCATTTGTAAGGTCGAACAAAGGTGGCAACTACGTTGTGTTGCCAACAAACAAATTGAATACTCAACTACTAAACGAACATCTGGCTATTACAAGCCGAGCTCTTGGAGTCATGAGTTCATGATATCTGTGGGAGATGATCATGGGGTAGATTGTTCTATTTCATTTTTTCTTTTATTTCACTTCTTTAAGGGTAGTAGATTTTTTCATATATTAAAATTCTTGAGCAATTGACTTGTTTAAATTTCAATTCATTTGATTTATTTGCTGTCAAGGAAAACTACCTAGACAGTGAGAGTTTGACTTGAATTCAAAATGATATAAAGTCCATGTTTGTTTTAATTTAAATCAAAGTCAATAATTAATATTAACTATATTATATTTCATGGGATTCATAACTTTTCAATCACACATTTCATCATTTTTTATCAAAATTTACTAAAAATCTGGGTTTAATCCCACCAAATATAGGGGCAAAATGAAACAATGCAACTTATTTAGAAGTAAAACACAAATTCGGTCTTCTGTACAAGACTAATGAACAAAATATAAAATCAATTACCGTACTCTTTGAACAACTCAAAATTTTCAATAAATTATTATACATCTTTTGTCTTCCATGCAGAAGGAAGTTTCAAAGGAGAGTAGCGTAAAGAAGTTGGAGGAGGCAGTGAAGTACATGCTTGCCGACGAAGGTATGAAGCCATTGGACACACTTCAATTAATTGATGACATTCAACGTCTAGGCTTGGGATACCGTTTCAGAGACAGTACAAAATCTGCCCTCGACAGAATTATATGTTCAGAAAAAGTAATGAAGAAAATGGACCATTGTATTCATACTTGTGCTCTCTACTTCACCCTCCTTAGACAACATGGATACGATGTTTCTGCAGGTACGTAGTCAGTCACACATAATTTTTCTTTTTGAATCAATAAAGAAAGTTTATAGATGGTATTGCAAATATATATACTAAACATGAAAGTATTTAACTAAAACAGTAGCGTTATTTATCATTGTGATAGTGGATCATTTAATATCATCATGTTGCCATATAGGTTGAATCATCATGATGGCAAAAATCACTATTCTAACCTACAAATGAAGGATTCATGAAGTATGGGTAAAATAAAGCCAAAAGTTAGTCTTTATTTTGTAATATATTTCAATTACAAATGAAGGATTCAAGAAACAGCCAAAGTGCTTAGTTTAAGTATCTTATGTCCATTTGACTCCCAATGTTCCTTAAAGAATCTTTCCTATTTTTTGCCCTGAATAGCTGGTTTTTATGTTGTGCTCAGACATTTTCGAGAATTTCAAGGACCACAATGGCAACTTCAAGGAAAGCCTGGCCCAGGATATCCCAGGAATGTTAAGGTTGTATGAAGCTTCACATGTTGCATATAATGGGGAGAACATATTAAATGAGGCCAAAGAATTCACAACTATGAACCTCAAAAAAATGTTGGGAAAAATTGACATGAAAATGGGTGCTCGAGTGAGCCATGCCTTGGAAATTCCATTTCAGCGCAGAATGCAGAGGCTAGAAGCCAGGTGGAATATTGAATCATACGCTAAAACGGAAAAGGCATATCAACTTCTCCATACACTAGCAGTATTGGATTTCAACATGGTCCAATCCATGCTCCAAAGAGATCTCCAACAAGTCTCATGGTATTGTTATTATTTAATAAATTTCCATTTTATCTGTGCAGTATCTAAAATGACAACATCACTAAATGATGGAGATGCATCATAATATTTGAATTGAATTTGGGTGGGGGTGTTAGGTTTTAAATCCCGTACATTGTGTACGTGCAATCATGGAGTACAAGGAGAGGGACGTAATGCTTTACCTCAAATCTTACAATATAAGCGCAAAGAAATAGTTTAAAAGAGCCTAAAACAAGCTTAATAATAATAATAATAATAATAATAATAATAATAATAATAATAATAAGTAAAGAGCATAAAGAGTACATGGTTTTGCTTATTAACCCATTATTTTGTATGAAGTTTTGGAATATGCATGTGGTAAAGTTTCAAGAGCCGTGTATGATCCCCTACACATATATATGATGGAAAAATGGCTTGTATGGAGTTGTTTTTCGCATAATATTGAGTGAATCCGTTCCTTCGTTTTGGAAGATAAAAGTATATTTGCGCTCTCCAAATCAAAATTATATACTTGTTAAAAATGATGTTCACGTGAATAAAAAATCCAAGATAATTTATGCATTGATGGGAAAACGATTTTACTTTATTCCATATAGAAAAATTAATAAAGCAAAGATCAGTTTATAAATGGCTATAATTAGAAATATGTAATCATGTTTAGCAAAGAGATTTTTTTTTCGCGTGTGTATGCAAGGGGTTAGCAAATCACGAACCAAATTAGCACCCGGACTATTAATCTTGTGTACAAGGGCGAGCTGCATATACGAATATCGAATTGAAATTGGTCACTTAAAAGGGTTTATTTTTTGCCTTTATTTTTCCGATTTGTTTAATTTTATTTTTTTTCAACTTCCTTTCCAACTTCAATAACTTCTTTAACTCGTGACACATAAAACTCCCTAAAACTTGTATGGTTAATAGGCTGTAATGAATTGTTACTATGTGAAAGTAACTCGTTATTCATGGAGTCTATAATACAAGTTGTTTTCTCAGTTTCCGCACAAGAAAGAGAACAAAAAGTCTCATTTCTCTTGTTCGAAATTGTCCTCATCTTCTGTTCCGAAAATTTTCATTTTGTGTCCGAGACTTGGTGATAGTTCAAATCAAGTTCAGTTTGTCGATGTAGAAACTTAGTGCTCAATTTTTACAAGTTTCTCCATTATATTCTAGGAAATAGATGCTCAAGCACTTATGGCGAGAGAGTTAATATATTTTAAGGATACAGTATTTATATGGACTTCGATTTGTTAATTTCTTTCTTTCAGTGAAATATCTTTCTTTGTAGTTGTTAATTTCCTATTCTACTTTTTTTAGTTATAAAATATTATATTATTTACTAATTATATATACTTTAATGAATAAATATGTACAAATCTAAAATGGATAATATGACATGATTTCTATATCATTTGTATGTTATCAATTGTAATTATAGTTTTCTTGAAAATTTTGTAGTTGGTGGAAGGATGTGGGCTTAGCAAATAAGTTGTACTTTGCAAGAGACAGGCTGATGGAGAGCTTCTTTTGGTCAGTTGGAATGGTATTTGAACCACAATTTAGTGAATGCAGAAAAGGTTTAACCAAAGTGGTTAAGCTAATCACTATTATAGATGATGTTTATGATGTTTATGGCTCTCTTGAAGAACTCGAACAATTTACAGATGCTGTTGAGAGGTTTGTACTTATAGAAAGCAATAAATGTTATTAATTTTTTGTATTTCAAAACCTAAATTTTGGTGCTCTTATTGCAGATGGGATATCAATGCTTTGCAGCATCTTCCTGGCTACATGAAGTTATGCTTTTTAGCTCTTTACAATACTGTTAATAACATGGCATATGATGTTCTTAAGGAACAAGGTCAGGTCATCCTTCCTCAGCTCACAAAAGTGGTAAGTGCATCAATGTAAAGTTCATTTTATTATCCTTAAAAAAAAAAAAAATCATTTTACTATAGATAGATCACTTAATTTATACTTGAAATCGAATAGATCCCCAGGATTAGAAAAAATCAGATCTATACATCTCAATTTAGTCATTTTATTTGTACTATTTTGAGATTTTTCTTAGACTATATTTAAACTATATTTTCCTTTATTATCTTATTTCTTTGAAATACATTTGTTAAAAGAAATAAAACTACAAATATTGTTATAATATTTTAAATATTAAAATTTGAACAAGCATTCAATTTTCACAAATATGATTAAGATAAGAACAAAAAGATAAAAATAAAAATCCATCTTTTATACTAAAACTATTTATTTTTTGTTTAAATTAAATTATAAAAAGGCAAATAATAGAAATTTAGCATAATATATAAGGGTCTGCTTGATACTACATCTTTTCCATGGAATTGGAAATAAAATTCCACCTTTTGCAAAAAATTATTGTTTGATTGGCAATATTTTCTTGTCCAATCATTTTCTTGGTTTCATCTCACACGCTCCTCTTTCCTATTTTTTTGGTGAAAATCAATTCTCACCTTTTTGGTGAGAATTCGGTTTCGAGCCTTTTTATTTTTTTTGGTAATTGAAACAAATTTTATAACCAATTGTAAAAAAAAAAATTCACTTTAATGGACAATTTTCATGTAAAACAAAGTCAAACGAATACTATATATATATATATATATATTTTTTATTTGCAATGGAAACAAATGTTATAACCAATTGTGGAAAAAATTATCACTTTAATGAATAATTTTCATGTAAAACATTGTCAAACGTACACAAAAAGATTCAAAATTTTAAAATTTTTCAGGTGGAAAATTTCAAACACACTTAATTAACAACTCTCTGAAAAACAAGTTTTAAGCAATTATTTTCTCTGGAATTCATTTTTCTTCTATCCATTTTCCACCATCGCAATCAAACGGACCCTAAAAGTAAAATGAAAACTTTATGCTTACAGGGGAGGATCCTGTAAATTTTAACATATGAGGGGGTGTCTCTGGATTTGTAAACCTCGTGACAATTTGTTCTGAAACATTTTTTATTTTATTTATTTCTTTTTCTTAATGTTGTTCAATATAGTACGTTACTAAATAAGCTGTAACGAAATTGTAATTTAATTCCCCCAGTTTTTATTAGATTTTGATAACTGAATTTATCTCTACAAATTATGTTTCTCAGTGGGCAGATTTATGCAAAACGTTCTTAAAGGAAGCGCAATGGAGTTACAATAAACATATACCTACTTTTGATGAGTATCTCAGTAGTGGATGGTTATCATCATCTGGACCACTTCTACTTGTTCATGCCTACTTTCTAATTGATAAAAATGTTACAAATGAAGCTATAGATCGCTTCAACGATTACCCTGCTCTCTTACGCTATCCATCCACAGTTTTTCGCCTTTGCAATGATTTAAGTTCCTCAAAGGTGTGTTACCTTTTAGATCACTTTCTTAGAAGACAACAGCACTTTATCAAGAGATTAGTCTGATATATATTTTTTACTGTACCAGGCCGAGATTGAGAGAGGTGAAATTGCAAATGCAATTTCTTGTTACATGCATGAAAATGGTGTTTCTGAGGAAGTTGCCCGTGAATACATTAAGAGTTTGATCGATGAGAATTGGAAGATGATGAATAAAGAATTGGTTTCGAATTCCATTTTCAGCAAGTCCTTTATTGAAATAGCCATAAACCTTGCTCGAATAGCACAATGTCAATACCAGTATGGCGACGCTCATAGTGATCCAAATGACATAACGAGAAACCGAGTTTTGTCGGTTATTATTGAGCCCATCCAATTGACACAGCCATATGGGAACTTAAAACTGTCTATAAATTGAGAGAGAAGATTGTTAACATAAAGAAGTGTATAAGGTTCACAAATATGATTATTGAACAAAGGTTGTAGACAAAGTGATAACTGATAAGGACGTTGCTAGTTCAACCCTCACCAAGAAGATGCTGCTTGCTGAGTTATACTCAATTGAAGGGTGAGTATTAATCAATTTGTTTCAAAATTATTGTATGTTTCAAAATCAGTACTGAACATTTGGTAAGTAGAACTGTTTTATTGTCGAGAATATATACAAATGCTATAATAAATATTGATTTTATTGATCTCCTTATGTATTACTATTATTGGTCGTAGTGTAAAATATATTCAAACACTTTTATAATAATATGTATTCAATAATGCTATGTAGCACCAGTGGGGTTGCATCCGCTGTCTAGGTGCATATTGGTCGTAGTGTAAAATATATTCTAACACTTTTATAATAATATGTATTCAATAATGCTATGTAGCCCCAGTGGGGTTGCATCCGCAGTCTAGGTGCATTAAATGATTGGCTAAATGATATGTGAAATTAAATGACTTAATTAATTTCACCTATCATTTAATACCATATTAACGCCATCTAGACTGGAGATGCAACCACAGTGGGAATGAATAACATTGCTCATATGTATTACAAAGATTATAATGCAGAAAGATTTTGAAGATGACCTCAAGGCGTGTTCTTTGACAAACAATATAAAACAACTGCCTCAAAACAAAGGATCAAATACTACTTATAACTAAACAACATGAACGGAAATACCTATTTATGTCAAAAGATTAAGGGATTGATTGGCAAGATTTTTGAAAAGTCAAAAGCTGTTTCTAAGACTAAGGAGCTGATTTTGAACATATTTGAATACTTTTCAGAAGTGTTTTGTATGACCACAAGAGCTTATATATGAAACTGAAGTAAAATAATTTTTCAAGAAACCCTTCTACAAGAAGTAAAAATAAAAGCAAAATCGATGCCGGACTGCTCTAAATTCAACTCAATGTCAATTGAACTAAAGTAGTGCGTGCATAAAATTGAAAAGGAACTGAACAACATCAGGACTATGCGTACAATCTTCGAGTGATTCCCGTGTGAATTCTTAGCTACTGTCGCTGCATAATAAACTAAGGCTTGTACATCTGCATCATCCTTCCATATCAAATAGAGATTCATCCTCGAATCAATGGTGCAGTAATCGTCTGAAAAATAGTCTCCCAAGTACGGAAAGAGATGTTTGATATTGAACACATCAGCAATTCATAAGAGTTTTTATCAAAGCAAGATTGTTGCCAGTGAGCACCATATTATCGACTTGTAACATGAGATAAACAGTGCCTGTCGAGGTATGATGGACAAATAGAGAGGAATTAGCGTGACTAAGAAGAAAATCAAGTTTCATGAATAAAGAGTTGAAGCATTGGAACCAAGTATGAGGGGCATCTTTGAGTCCATAAAGAGCACACTTCAAATGAGATAGATGTTGAGGAAATTACGGATCAATGTGGCCAGGTGGTCGATCCATGTACAGTTCTTCAAAAATATGAACATGGAGAAAGGCAATCTTGAACATGGAGAAAGGCATTCTTAACATCTAATTGATGTAAGGGCCATCCAGAAGTGACATCAATAGATAGTATAATCCAAACAGCGGAAGGTCACACCACAAGGCTAAACATATCTTCAAAATCAAGGTCATGAATCTAAGAGAAGCCTTTGGCCATAAGGCAAGCCTTGTGATACTTATTGGAATCATCCGCATGGAGTTCGATCTTAAAGATCCAACGACAAGCAACCACGTTATGCTTGAGAGGGTGAGGTACAAGATCCCAATGACCATTCTTTTTTAAAGCTTGTATTTTATCATCTATAACCGAGAGCCATTCAGGGTGTTTGGTATGGTATAAGACTTGAAACCCCAAGGCTATTGTAGGGCAACAAAGGCCTAAAAAAAATGAGAATGTGAAATCATCAATGCAAGATAGGCGTTAGGTTTAAATATACCAATTTTCCCTCTAGTAACCATTGGGTCAATGTTGGTAGAAGGTGTCGAAATAGTATGGGCAGACTGGGAAAAGAGACGATAGACACAACAAGAGATGTCCAAGGAAAAGATTTACCGAGACCACCAATGCATGGCAAACAAGTAGGATCTTAAACAGGAAAAGACAGTAACAAATCCAAAAAGGACGGAGATGTTAGAAAAGAAAATTCAGAGGACCAAAATGCATCCAACGAGAAGGTAAGGACTAAAGAAGCAATTAGCCAAGGGAAGGGAAAAAGGTAAAACATGAAGTGCGACTCTACCTTACCAGAATTTTGAAGGAAGAGAAATTTGACAGTACACCTCATCCAACAGACTCGCTCTCAGCTTCACCAAAAATCCTTGATCTCAGGGATTTGATTCATGGAGCATGTTATCACCGTTAAAGAATTGGTTGTGATAATTGTATGTATTGTATATAATTCATTCTCTAGTATAAATAGAGGAATTATGTTGCTCTATATTGTATCAAAAAATTCTAGCAATAAAGAGTTCAAATTTGTCTTTATCATCTTCAATTCTCTGTTTTTTATCTTGGTATCAGAGCCAACATCATGGCTAATGTATTACCCCCTGTATCGGACTCAAGCTCCACAAACCCAGACACCACAAATCTCAGCCCACCTCAAGTTCCGGCTCTTGGAAGTAATTTTTCTCCCTTTAGAATGAACTTCACCCAAGCAACCTCTGTTAAACTTGACAGAAATAACTTCATACTTTGGAAAAATGTTATAATGCCAATTGTAAGGGGTCATTGCTTAGAAGGATATTTACTGGGTACCAATGAGTGTCCCACTCAGACTGTAGATGCTCAAATTTCAACTAAGACCGGAATCATTGTTAGGACTTTCCCTAATTTCGAGTATTCTAGATGGATTTCTATTGACCAATTACTAATGGGTTAGTTATATTCCTCGATAACATCTGACATTGTGATGCGTGTTATGGGCTGCAATAGCTCAAGTGAACTGTGGAAAGCCATAAATGAGAATTATGGAATCCTAAATAGGTCTAGAGTGACCTTTCTCACGTTCGAATTACAAAGAATGAGGAAAGGGTCCATGTCTATGGACCACTATCTCAGCACTGTCAAGCAGCTTGCTGATAATCTTGAAATAGCAAGAAAAAAAATTGAACATACACACTTGGTAAGTCAGGTCCTAGCTGGGCTTGATGAAGAGTACACTCTAATCGTAGTGTAAGTCAACAGCAAGGAACATATTTCTTGGCATGAGCTATCCTCTGTACTCATGACATTTGAGAGCAGACTGGAATACCTCAGCCAAGTTAGAACCAACTTTGGTTCAATCAATATCACTCAAAGGAACTTCCAGAATACAAATTCATACAATGGAAGAGGAAACAGAGGTGTTAGAGGCTCAAATTTTAGAGGAAGAACAAGAGGTAGAGGCAGGTTTGGAAGAACAAATGAGGCAAGAAATCCTTATTAGATATGTGGGCTGAGTAATCACACTGCTTCATGGTGCTACAACCGATTTGATGAAAAATTTATGGGAAAAAGGCCTACTGATCAGACTTTCAACCATCATACATTTGCTTACATTACAAATCCAAGCTCAGGTGAGGATCATGGCTGGTATGTTGATTTTGGAGCTAGCCACCATGTAACTACTGATAAGGACAACAATACTGAAGCAAAAGAATATGGAGGTAAGGATAAAATGATTGTAGGTAATGACACTTCACTGCAAATTTCACATGTTGGCTCTAAGGTTTATAATATTGAAACTGGTAAAAGACTCCCTTTAAAGAAACTACTACATGTTCCTAAAATCAGAAAGAATCTCATAAGTGTTTCCAAGCTTACATCTGATAACCATGTCTCAATTGAATTTTATCCTAACACTTGTGTTGTGAAAGACCTATCAACAAGGAAGGCTCTAGTGCAGGGGAAACTTAGAGATGGATTATATCAGCTGAATTTGCCCTTCTATGACACAAGAAATCAGAAAACAAGCCCTATCAGTCATCAACTAAACAAATCTCAGTCCATCTTCTACACAAGTTCATCTGAATCTGCAAACTCTACTAGCAATAATGCCCCTGAATCACAGATTGAAATCTGGTACAGAAGATTAGGACATCCTCCTGCTTCTGTGCTACTTCAGTTTTTGAAAACTTGTAACAAACTCAACTTTATCAGTAATAGAAAAATTCCTTTCTGTGAAGCATGTCAAATTGGAAAATCACATACCTTGCCGTTTAAATTGTCTTTATCTCATGCTAAAATGCCACTTAATCTGGTCTACACTGACGTTTGGGGTCTAACCTCTATTAGTTCTACCTCAAGATTTAAGTGCTATGTTCTTTTTATAGATGATTGCACTAGGCATACCTGAATTTATCCTCTAAAACACAAGTTTGGAGTTATCCACTACTTTACACAGTTTAAGAACTTTGCTGAAAATCAGTTTGAAAGGAAGATTAAAACAGTTCAATCAGACATGGGGGGAGAATATAAAAGCTTAGATAAAATAGCCGTTGAATCAGGGATTGAATTAAGATATTCCTGCCCACATAAGTACAAAATGGAAGAGTTGAGAGAAAACATAGACATGTCACTAAGACTGGATTGACCTTGCTATCTCAAGTACATATGCCTCTCTATTATTGGTGGGAAGCTTTATTAACTGCAACATACTTCTTAAATAGAATGCCTAGTCTGACTCTTCAACACAAATCACCATATGAACTCCTACTTAAGCACAACACTGATTATCAACTACTTAAAGTATTCGGATGCTCCTGATATCCTTGCCTAAGACCATACCAAAGGCATAAATTTGATTTTCGTTCCCAGAAATGTGTCTATCTAGGTCCTAGTTTATCTCACAAAGGGTTCAAATGCTTAAGTCCTAGTGGTAAAATTTATATCTTCAGGCATGTAATCTTTGATGAAAACTCATTTCCATTCCAAAGTGGCTTTCTCAACAAAAAATCTTCAGACAAGTATCCTTTCACCACTCTCTACCATCTACCTTTTGAAATTAGTTCCTACAAGCTACCCACCAATTCATTTGAACTAATTCCTTACAGAGAAATCACAGAACCTGCTGATATAATCCTCCTCACAGAAGAACTTGTACAAGAGCCCCTTACTGAAAATGAAGGTGAAAGGGTGATGGGAAATGATGAAGCGTCTGTCATGCAACAGACTGAATGAAATGGTACACAGCCTGATAGTCAAGCTGAGTCTTCAGCACGCAGAAATGAGTTGAGAGATAAGTTCTCTATACCAGAAAACGAACGGTTAACAGAACACCCTATGGTAACCAGGTCTAAGGCAGGAATTTGTAAACCAAAATTTTTTGTTGATGTTACTACAAGCTCAATTGATGAGATAGAACTAGTGAGTGTTCATGAAGCATTAAGAAGTGAAAAATGGCACCAAGGTATGAAGGAAGAATATGAAGCAATAACCAGAAATAACACCTAGGTGTTGGTTCCTGCAGAGTCTAAAATGAAGGTGATAGGCTGCAAATGGGTGTATGAATTGAAGCATGATATAAATGGAGAAATTTAGATATATAAAGCCAGGTTAGTGGCGAAAGGCTTTCTGCAGACATCAAGCATGGACTATTATGAAACATTCAGTCCACTAGCTAAGGCACCAACTTTGAAGATCATTCTCATAATAGCTATGTTGAAAGGCTAGGGAATAAGGCAGGTAGATATCAACAATGCATTCCTCAATGGAAAATTGGAAGAAACGATTTTCATGGAACAACCTCAAGGCTTTGTTGATCAAAGTAAACCATCGTTTGTGTGCAAACTTAGCAAGGCTCTCTATGGGATAAACAAGCTCCCAGAGCTTACGTACTATGTGATTTTCTCTGTAACCTGAGTTAGGAACTTATGCAATCAAAGACTGACATCTCAGTTTTTCACCAGGTTACTTAAGTGTCAGTGATCTATATGCTAGTCTATGTCGATGATATCGTGATAACGGGAAGGAGCACTACAAGAGTACATAAGTTAATTGAAAGGCTGAATACAACTTTTGCACTGAAGAATATGGAAAGCCTAAAAAAAGTTTCTGGGAATTAAGTTTTATAGAGATGAGATTGGCCTACATATGACACAAAAAAGATATGCTATTGATACTTTAAAAAGGTTTGGTTTTGAAAACTTGAAACCAAGTGTTACACCAATGGCTCTGGAAAACTAATTGCTAAAACTGAAGGACAGATTTTATAGAATCCTACTGAGTTTAGAAGTGTTGTAAGAGCTGTCCAATATCTAATGCACACTAGGCATGATATCATGTTTGCAGTAAATAGAATCAGCCAATATCTTCAGTGTCCTACTGATGCACATTGGAACCTATTGAAACATTGTTCAGAGATATCAAAGGAACACTTGATATAGGATTGATAATCCAAGAAACACAGAATCTCAACATAATTGCATATGGTGATGCAGATTGGCCTCATGCCCGGATGACAGGAAGTCCACTGTGGGGTATTGTGTATACCTTGGAGGGAGCTTAATTTCTTGGTGCTCTAAAAAGCACAAGTTGTGGCAAGGTCTAGTACTGAGGCGGAGTATAGAACATTAGTTTACACCACTGTAGAAATTGTATGGATTCAGTCCTTATTAAACGAACTTAGCATTAATCAGATAGAAATTCCCAGAATCTGGTGCGATAATCTAGGAGCAAGTGCTCTAGCTTCCAACCCTGTCTATCATGCACGAACCAAGCACATTGAACTTGATGTGCACTTTGTTCGTGATAAAGTTTTAGCCAAACAACTCTCAATCAACTATGTTCCAACAACAGATCAAATTGTCGACATCCTGACCAAATCGCTGTTGAACTCTAGACATCTATATCTAGGGGTAGGCTTGGAGTTACAGAGATTACCTCCAGTTTGAAGGGGGCTGTTGGAAAAAGAAAATTCAGGGGACCAAAATGCATCCAACGAGAAGGCAAGGACTAAAGAAGCAATTAGCCAAGTGAAGGGAAAAACGTAAAACGAGAACTGCGACTTTACCTTACCAGAATTCTAAAGGAAGAGAAATTTGACAGTACATCTCATCCAACAGACTCACCCTCAGCTTCACCAAAAATCCTTGATCTCAGGGATTTGATTCATGGAGCATGTTATCACCGTTAAAGAATTGGTTGTGATAATTGTATGTATTGTATATAATTCATTCTATAGTATAAATAGAAGAATTAGGTTGCTCTGTATTGTATCGAAAAATTCTAGCAATAAAGAGTTCAAATTCGTCTTCATCATCTTCAATTCTCTATTTTTTTATCTGGAGACACATTATTATTAGACTCCAAAAAATCAGAGAAAGTAGTGTTGACTGGGAAGTTGTTTTATATCATCATCCGCGGAAGGGAAGATAGTTTCATAAAATTGGACATGTGGAAAGACATAAAGACATTGTTTCTTGCAGTCAAAGCAGTGAAATTCCTTGTGAAGGGGGCTATAACCTAAAAAGACACTAAGAGAGGATTTGAGAGATAATTTCTTATGTACATAATCTCGCAAATAAGGAAAGCATAAACATCAAAAGGTGCGAAGCATGAAGTAGTCGTATTGTGTACCAAACTGGAGCTCGGGGGGTTTCACCATCAAGAGTTTGCAAGGGAAGTCAGTTGATAAGATAAAGATTTGTCAAGAAGGCTTTGACCCAAAGAGGCAACGGACGCGGAGACGAAACATGAACAAAACCCATTTCAATACATGACTACGTTTACGTTCAGCAATCCCATTTTGACTCGGTATATAAGGGAAAGTAATGCATAGTATAATACCACAAGATACGAGCTGAGAGTGAAATTTATTATTTGTAAATTCAGTTCCACCATTACGTTGAAAAGATTTAATTTTGGAAGAAAATTGACGAACATATCAAAAAAATCAAATTTGTATTTCAGTGCAAAAAACCAATTGAATCTGGTACAATCGTCAATTAACACCACACAATACCGAAATCCAGTAGTGGAATAGATAGGGGAAGGGCCCATAAATCAAAATGTAAGCGATAAAAGGGTAAAACACAAAGATTATTATTGAGTGAAAAGGGTAAACAATGGCCTTGACCTGAATCTAAACCCACCAATTTATCGTTATTGGAAATAAAACTAGACTTTGAAAGAGAGTCAACAGTACGAAAACTAGGGTGGTCGAGACGAACATGCCACAAATGAATAGAGACACCCAACTTATTAGAAGAAACAGTGGAAGCAAAGTCATGATGATTCTGATCGAGCACATATAAACCATTCTCACATCTGCCGACCCCTAACATTACTCTTGTGGCCCCAATCCTGTATGGTAAAACTAGAAAAAGAAAAAATAACACAACATTTTTTATCCTTTATAAGTTGACTGATGGAAATAAGATTTTTCTTAATGCCTGGAACAACTAAAACATTGGATATAAGAAGTGAGAGTTTAGGAACAAAAGTAGAAACAGAACCATTGTGAGAAATAGGAAGTGACTGACCATCACCAACCATCACCTTTTCATTACTAGAGTAAACAGCAGGAACATCCATACCCTCGAGATTATTTGTCATGTAGGAGGTTGTAACAAAGTTCAAATACTAGTCGGAGTCAGTGGAGTTCAGAGTCGAACAAGCAGCTAAAGCCTGAGCAAGGTTAGTAGACTGTTTTTTCTTGAGATTAAGATATATCCAGCAACATTTAGCTAAGTGTCCCTTCTTATTATAGATTTGACAATAAATTGAAGAAGAAGTGGATGATTTTGAGGTAGAGTCAGATGAAGGTTTAGCTTTCCTCTCTTGGTGCTTTCGATTTGGTGGAGGAATTTTGCAGAGTGTAGAATGCCGAGTTGGTAGGTAATTGAGATTCCGATCTTTCAAAAATCTTATGGCTCAAAGGTTTCGGAACGATATCTACAAAAGAAGGTAATGAAAGGTGTGAGAGCATCGTAGTTTAGAAGATTTTGTAATCGAGTCCCAAGACTCGTAAGAACTAGTGGACTTTATCTATATAGTCAATGGGATGACCAATTGCAGCCAGTTGATCGTAGAGGCCTTTGAAGAGTTAAGAAAATTCAGCCATGGATTTCGAGTCTTGCTGCATCAGTTGAAGCTTGTCCTTGAGTTGTTATTAAGTCTTGGATCTATGAGAGAAAGAGGCTTGAAGAGTGGTCGAAGCCTCACATACATGACTTGGACCAAGTACCATTCCTAGACTCTTCCATAAGAGAAGAATCAAAGAGACTTAATTGGATGATAGTTAGATGGTGAGCATATGAGCCATGGTGTTCAGCGGAAGTGGAAATGTTGATGAAATAGCCATGGAAAGGATAAAAAAAAGGTATTTCCTAAACCTAGCTCTAATACCATATGAAGATTTAATGACCTATGTATGAGATGATTTGAATCGTTAATGAATATTGAGGTGAACAATTCTCATTATTATGTAATGTATGTATAGTTGGAAGATCCTATATTCTAGGAAACAAATAAACGTAATTGACAGAGTTGAGAATATTCCATAAACTGGGAAAGAAATGATACATACATGATAAAAAATCATATAAGATCAAGAAAAGAATCGGGAGATGATTCTTTCTTATCAGGTAAGAACAACACCCATAGTCACAAACACCAAACTCCACCTCATGCCATTTGCAATCAATAGCAAGCTTACACTTCAACAAAGTTGACACAAGATTATCAAAGATTGGTTTGTCCTTGTAAGCATGTTATCAAAATCAAACTAGATTGACCGATTCAACTGGAAAATTAGGGAACTGATTTGGACTCCAATTCAATTTTATCTTAAAACCCATTTAATTTGAAACCTATAAAAACCCAAAAATTTGGCCAATTTATGCACGAACCGGAAGATCCGAATCAGTTTAACCAATTATGCCGGTCTCTTGAATTTAAAATTTCAAATTTTGGAGATCGTTTCAAATCTCGGACCACTAAAGTACAAGGCCCATACCCCCCAGGGCATAGCTCAGTGGTGCAAATGACAAGAGTAAGGTAATCTCAACTGAGCTGTCAGTTGCAGTGTGAGGGTTCGATCCCTGCGTCTTACAAGGTATGTAATTGGACTCTTTGTGGGCACCGGTATGGCAGCTCTGTACCCTAGCCTGCTGAGGCATATCCCGCGATTTACCTCTTCCACAATATTCTAGAGACGGCGTGGTGGAGGGCCCTCAAGGTTGGGGTTCAACCTTTTTTAAGTACGAGGCCCATAAAGTTATTCATCCATTAAATGGTTCACCCACTTATAGAATGAATTCCCAGTGATTGTCTCATATGAATTCAACATGGGATAAATTATAAACTAATGAAAACCACTCGTCTTTGGCAGTAGACAATCCAATTATTTTATTTGAAAATATATTTATTTATCTTTTTTAGTTATTCGATTCAAACTCGATTTGATCTTTTAACCTTTGACCATTTCATTTTTTCGAGTCAATGCCCGGTCCGAGTTTTAAAACACTCTTGTCAAAAAGATGTCAGAATCGTGAAGTACAACTAGACAATGCTTATGCTCATGATATGATCGAACAACAATGTAGATTTATATTCGCTTTAAATTCGAGATGGAATTATCTCCACGTGGGAGAGACTGATGCAACTCGCATATGAAAATTATCAATTAATTTTGGCAGCTTTAAGATTTTATTACTTTATAACAATTTTAGATTGTTTATCCTTTGTAAAATATGATTTTATTTTGTTGTAAAAACAGGAAAATCCGAGTCTTTTGAAAAATGTGATTTATTTCTGGTTTGTTTCCCATTATTTTTAAAATAATTTTTTTTCTTTTATTTTCAAGAACAAATTTTTCAATAAAATAATATTGCATGCAAACCCAAAATCATTCCTTAATTTTTAACTATGCATTCTCCATCAAATCACTATTTCAAAATTCGTTTTTGGCTAAAAATGGGGCTCAAACAACCTCTTAATAAAATAAAACATTGAGTGTTCTTAATTATATGTTCAAATTCTCATTATTCTAGAGAATCAACGAGTTTTTATGCTTAAATTTATGACATTCATGAGTGAATTAACATGAATTACAAGATTGTTCATGATTTCCATATTTTCACGCTTCCATGCGGACATATCACGTGCATAGCTTCAGTTAATAAACAGGCTACCACAATAATTTGTGTAATTCAATACTACAATGTTGGGCCTCTAGTTTAGTCACTCAATAGTAATGAACTGACACTACACCAAAAAACATCATTTGCAACACATAAAATGCAACATTCGGTGGTTAAATGTTGCTAAAATGGTCTATCGTAACATTCTAACACGTGAATGTTACCATTATCTAACAAAATTGAGCTTTGACAACATTTTTTAAGTGAATGTTGCTAATGTTGATTTTTTGCAATATTTTTTAAATGTTGCGGAAGACAAAACTTTTCATAACGCTTAAAAAACATTGCGAAAAGCGTTTTTCGCAATGTTTTTAAATGTAGCGAAAGTTTTTTTTCTTTCGCAACATTTAAAAAACGTTGCGAAAAACGCTACTCACAATTTTTTTGTGATTTTTGCAACGTTTCCCCTCCCTTTTAATCTACCCTAACTTTTCATCCCCTTCACTTTTCCTCCTCTCGTCTGTGCCTCTCATCTCTTCTTCCCCCAAATCTCTATCTTCTTCAATTGGGAGCTTAGATTCGTGCAGATTTCCTCACTTGTGTTGTAGTCTCAGTTGATTGTATCTAATATTCTGGGGGGAACACAATTCGGCTACGAGTTTTAGAATGGGGGGAAGCTTAAGCAACGGAAGAAGGTGGACAAATGGAAGAAAGCTACGGTTTGCGAAGATGATGAGAAAAGAGCTTTGGAACTCGGCGATGAGCTTCATCCAAAGAAAATTACTCGAACCATAGAGAACACCCATGAGATTGACGATATTGTCTATAATTTTGATTGAAATTTTGGTTTTGCAGTTACTGCGTAGAAAGTGGGAGGAGGGCTCTGCAGTATTTGGGATTGGATGGAGAAAAAATCTTTGTTGGTTTTGATGTAAGTAAAAACTGGATTTTTGATACCATTGATCGTTATTTGGTTTCTTATGTGAAAGGATCTTTTATTTTTGCAGATTGGGGATTGGTGCCATTTTCAGAAACACTAAACTGTGCAATTCTCAGAGTAAGACTACTTTTTTGGGAGGTGTATGGCTTAAGCATGTGTGCTTGTGCTTGTCAAAATTTAAATTAGGTGGGGAAGGATAAATTTTAAAAATAGTAAAGACTGGAGACTTGAACGCTTGTCAAATTAGGTGGAAAAGAACAAATTTTAAAAATAGTAAAGAGGGGGAGGTAGAGAAAAAGAACATTCCGGACAATTGATCTTGATTGGGCTGACTAAAATTTTTCTTCTGGCTATCATAAAATGGGCTGAGTTACATTTTTAATAGACAAACAGAATTTCTCATCTGAAATCGAGCAAGAAAGTTACATATGATATGATTAGTTGTGTGGCTACTAGTTCTGAATGTGCATGAAACGAAACTTTTTCCTATTTACTTACAGGAACATATACTCCTAAGGTTTTACAGATACCCACTTCACACCATGAGATCTCATCTTGGATTCAAAGTCATTCCAATTGATATTTAGGTGCTTCTCATTTCTTGGTTGAAGGATGGATTTTGTTGTTTAGTACTTGCACCTTAATTTTTTTCAATTTTATTATGGGTTAATGATAGATAAGGAACTGCTGCAGTATCAGTGATTCATGTCTAAGAAGCTTGTTATAGGCTTCGAAGGTCCAGGATATAGAATTTCTAAGATGCATATAATTGCTTCGATATCATCTTTGTTGTAAACCAGCTTGTCACTGTAACTTGTTCAGTTTATTTTTGTAGAGTGCTCTGAATGTTTCCCTTTTGGTTACTTCCTGTTTCAAGGGATTTAAGTATATTCATGTTCTCAATGCTATATAACATGCTGTAGCGACCGCGAACTTTTATACTAGTTCTGAATGTGCATGAAACGGAACTTTTTCCTATTTACTTACGGGAACATATACTCCTAAGGTTTTACAGATACCCACTTCACACCACGAGATCTCATCTTTGATTCAAAGTCATTCCAATTGATATTTTGGTGCTTCTCATTTCTTGGTTGAAGGATGGATTTTGTTGTTTAGTACTTGCACCTTAATTTTTTTCAATGGTATTATGGGTTAATGATAGATAAGGAACTGCTGCAGTATCAGTGATTTATGTCTAAGAAGCTTGTTATAGGCTTCGAAGGTCCAGGATATAGAATTTCTAATATGCATATAATTGCTTCGATACCATCTTCGTTGTAAACCAGCTTGTCACTGTAACTTGTTCAGTTTATTTTTGTAGAGTGCTCTGAATGTTTCCCTTTTGGTTACTTCCTGTTTCAAGGGATTTAAGTATATTCATGTTCTCAATGCTATATAACATGCCAATTTTTTTTAATGACTTTTCTATTGCTTTATACAGAGTTTGACATTTTTAGTGACCTATCAACACGCGAGTCTATGGACATTGACAGTACTAGTGAACTAAAGGCAGCTCATGTCGGCCGAAGGAAAATGGCATGCCCTTCTGTATCTTGTTTCTCTTTATGATTCTGGTGAAGGTCTTCCATATGCTCCCCAAGATTGGGTCTTCTATCCCATAATGACTAGATGATTTTTTTATTTTTTTTATTTAGAGTCTCTGCTGAAATAGCTAGTTGAAATATGAATGCTACTAATGGAGGACCACATTATAAAGCATTTCAAGTGATGGTAGATTGCTTATTCTTACTGTGACTTGGATTAAGATCTTTATGAAGTTTGTTTGTTGTATTTGTAGATGATATAGAGCTGTTCACACCTCCCAGGGAAACTGCAGAACGCTCAGGTTCCCGACTCTCAGTTTGATGGCGTGTTTGAAGGCTGGTAACAGAGTGTGCAAAAGTTTATCTGCAATAGAGGCTTCTATTTCAAATGTCATGTTTTGTGATATTTGCTGCAGTGAACCTGGCTTCTGCAGGGATTGCTGTTGTATTTTTTGTTGTAAGACTATCAAAATGGCCTTTGGAGGCTATAGTTACATTAGATATGAAGCTAAAATTGACGGCTATGTTTGTGGACACAGTACATTAGATGTGAAGCTAAAATTGACGGCTATGTTTGTGGACACAGTACATTAGATGTGAAGCTAAAATTGATGGCTATGTTTGTGGACACAGTGCACATATAGAGTGTGCTCTACGAGCTTACATGGCTGGGACATTCGGAGGAAGCATTGGTTTGGAAATTGAGTACTATTGTCGTCGATGTGATTCAAGGACAGATCTCATTTTGCATGTTGAGAGGCTTCTACAAACGTGCAAATTAGTTAATTCTCTGAATGTTGGTATTTGTGTTAAACAAGAGAAAGCAGTCAAGGACAGATCTCATTTTGCATGTTGAGAGGCTTCTACAAACGTGCAAATTAGTTAATTCTCTGAATGTTGGTATTTGTGTTAAACAAGAGAAAGCAGTCGAAGCTTACGACATTGCAGCCATTAAATTTCGCGGACTAAATGTTGTGACTAATTTTGAAATAAGCAGATATGATGTGAAAAGCATACTAGAGAGCAGCATATTGCCAATTGGAGGTTGACAACTGAGTTATACTCGAGCTACTGGCTTGACCGTTATGCAGACGAAAGTGATTCATTTCAAAATGTGAATGAGGAGTATATTACTTCTACTTTTTTATGTATGTTGTCTCAAGTGATGATGATGGTGATGATGCCAGAAATAGCATGATGATGAAGGGCAAATTGATGACTCACATGAAGTAATTGAGGAGAGTGATTCATCTGAAGATGAAGTTGGAGGCATATTACTAGTATCTACTAATAGAGTCCGGGTTTAAACATAGATTGAAGTGGCCACATTGGGGATGATATTTTATGTCTTTACTTCTTCCAACAATCTCGTTAGTGCAATGATGGATGAAACAATTGTATTGTTTATCTTACTCCTTTTTATATAGGTTGTGTTGTATCAAATTCAAATTTTGTATTGATTTAAAAATTTATAATGAAATTATCAATTTTTATGCAATTCCAAAATATTTTCACAATGTGTTATTTTTAGTTTTGTTGATCAATTACTCAATTACCATAACTGTATATATAAAAAAAAAAAA